AATATTTAGGTGGCTAGCTAAATATTTAACTTTCAAGCTAAATATTTAGGTGGCTAGCTGAATATTTAAGTTAAATATTTAGGTGGCTACCTAAATGTTTAACTTGCTACCTAAATATTTAAGTCACAAATTAAATATTTAGCTTGTTAACTAAATATTTAATTTGTAAGTTAAATATTTAGTTTATAAACTATGACATTTATAAATGTATGAATCATATGGTGAAAAACTGACTTTTAAAAATAAATCTGTTCTTTTTTTCTTATAAAAGTCTAAATAAAACAAAAATATTGGTGGTAATGTTTGACTGTGTAACTTTACAAACTGCACCTGACAGCAGCGATGCTTTTATTTTGAAACTTCTGCACACAGGAAGGTAAAAGGACAAAACAAAACAACTCTAGATTATTTAAGTGGAATGTTTAAAAAAATAAAGACCTTTAACATCCCGTTCATGCCTGGGTGGTCGTGCAGCGGGATGGAGGCCCCCCTCTTCAGCAGAAACACCCCCATGCTGAACGCCTCCGTCTCGCAGATGTGCATGTAGCTGACCGGGGGGCTCTGGAGCCCCCCCGCCCCGGAGCTCGATTTGCTTTTCCGACGAGCAACTTTCAGGTCTGCGGCTCTGACGGAGGTGACGAAGGAGATGAGTTCATTCAGCATGTCCGTAAAAGCTTTAGTTTCCCCGCTGGAGGAGGCCTGCAGGCCTGTGAACGTCAGCTGGGCCTGCTTGGCTATTTTCTGGATCAGAGCAGTTTTGTTGTCCCGCGGCATTCTGCCCGTCAAATAAATAAATAAACAAACTGTTACGTCTACTCCTCCAGTCCGGCCAACATTAACACTTGGACGATGCCTTTCAGAAACGTCGTTGTCGCCGAACGTCCCACGAAGCCGGCCTGGCAAAGTCCAAACGGTACCGAACCGAAACGTCTACGATAACAGGGAACAAATCATGGTTATAATGTTAAATTTCACCGCCACATACTAGCCTCCCTGACAAACCGTTCTTTCCGTCTCGCCCCTTTCGACCAACCTCACTGCGCATGCGTGTAAAACACAAAGCCCTCTGGGATATGTAGTTTCAACAGAAACTCTAATCTTCGTTTTTATTGTAAGTAAAGCGTGAAACAGAACCAAAACGTCTGAACACATGGTGTGAACGTATTATAATTTCATTTTGAGAGAAAGATTAAAATTACAATAGATTCAAATAAAATAAAACATAAAGTATTTTTCATGAGACTACATTTCCCAGGAGCAGGTAATAACAGAGGGGAAGGCCCCACAGGTTGTTGAACTCTGCCCGAATAATAAACTTTCTGTTCACTTTTCACCTCAGAAATACTCTCCTTAGTTTAATTACAAATACATTTGATTTTTTACCCATAATTACGACTTTAGTTCATGTAAACAAGCTGTGTTAGTGATGTTGAAGCTGGAGTGTTATTAGTGTATTCCACCTGTAGAGGCCTCCAACTTTTCTGCTTCAGGTTTTCTCTGGTAGCCTAGTTTTTTTTTAAATCTCAGTTATATATTTTTTCTACATCAGCCTTAATTAATGGTTTTGAGTTGTTTAAAGTTGGAACACTTCCCAACCCCCAGGCCCTGAAACAAAATAGTGAAAACAGACCAAGTAGCCATTCAAACACATCAGAAATAACATTTCTTGCAAAAATGCTGGTGTGAATGTTTCTTGCTTAAAACTTCAGCTGAAAGCTGCTGAAATTGAGCTGATAGTAGCAAAAGTATTAATGTAAGTTCAATTTGAAAAGCTGAAAGAAGCAGAGAAAAGCCAAACTTCACAGAAAAACAGTAAAAAGAGCAGAAATGTATGTGATATATCAGAAAGAAGCTAAAAGCCACAAGCTAAAAATAGCTGAATATAGAGGAAAGCATCTATAAAATAGCAAAAATTAGCAGAAAAAGGCAGAAAGGAACAGAATTATTTCTAAATCCTATAGTTAGACTGACCGTAGGTTTCCTGAGTTATTCCTGCTGCAGAGTGATGGAGCACAAACTGAGCACATTTCTTCACTCTGCTGCTGTCTTTACTCACTTTCCTCTACACATTTGTTGTCATTACTTTTATCAGTAACATGTTTTCTTTGTCTCTCTTCCAGAAGGACTCCTGGACCAGTCCTGGACCAGTCCTGGACCAGTCCTGGACCAGTCCTGGACCAGTCCT